TTGAACGCGTTCCTTTTTTTGAATTTGAACGTGAACGCGTTCGATTTTTGTCAATGAACGTTGAACGCGTTCGATTTTTTTAAAAATGTTTACAGCACTAGTCATTTATAATACTATATGTAAATAATTTATACATTGGATTTAATTTTTCTCTAGGCATTATAATTTATAAGCTTAAAATATTTTAAAAATGTTGTAAATGGCAATATACTAATATTTATAAAAATTATGAATTTATCAAACAAATGTGATTGATAATAATCTAAAACAATTCGAATATAATTAAAATGTTTGCAATATACTAGTAATAACTTACAAATTGTTTTATAAGCATGAAGAAATCATGAGGCTCGAACCGGTTCAAAGGCATTTTAGTGGTACGGTTCAGGTTAGGCTAAATATTTTTTAGAGGTTTAGGTTCGATAAAAAACACCGTTCTTAGTAATGGTTCAGGTTCGGTTTGGATCCCTGATTTTTTACTCTATTCTTAAAATATAAACTCAAATGTACAAGCATAGAGTGCATTATATTTGTAAAATCAGATTGCGCCTTCGGTATGGCCTATAATAACAAAATTTTTAGACCCAAGATGACCCATTGGCAATTTTTTGGATCTAGTCCTGACCCGTCACAGCCCCAATTTTTAGCTCAAAATATTTATTTTCTTATTTATTTTAATGTTAAGCAATAACTTTAATAATTTAATGTATTTATTATATTCTATTTATTACAAACTATGATATGAAAATGAATAGTAACTAAATATAACCCACTTATTTTTTTAAAAAACTTTTCATATTTTTTAAATTCATTTTATAATTGTGATATTTAATCAGGCAAAAAAGGGACTAGGAAAGAAATATATCATTATTTTTCAAGTCACGGGCAACTCCTGCAAGACTATAGCCTATGGGTTTAGAAGTTCTCAAGTTTTAAATAATCTATGATTTTAATAAAAATATAAAAGCATTCTCAAAAAAATTTATTATACCTACTTTTGGTTTTGAGCAGTGTTGCCAAGTGGCTTGCATATAACCAATTTTTTAAAACGGCTTAGAGATTTTAGCCAAAATAATATTACCTAAGCCTTGAACCTTTCTACCATAAAATATCGGTTAGGGAATACTTTTTTGACTAAAATCTTGAGTTATCCGTTTTTAAAAATCGGCTAAATCGAGGCGCAAGATTAGTTTTTAGTCATATTATCACATAAACAACGCGAAACTTTTTCCCGCGATAGATAATCTGAATGCACTGCCGTGAAAAGATATTTCCGCGAATGTATAACCACGAAAACAATATCGCGAATTCATTAGGATAAAAACCTTACCGCAATAGGATTATAGTGAATGTATTACTGCAAAGCATCACGAATACAATTTAGCGACTTTTATCGTGAATGTAACTGCGAAAACATTATAGCAAAAATATTAAGGTAATTATTGCGAAAATATTATTACAGAAGCATAACAGTAAAAACATTACAGTAGTAAATGTGTTACCGCAAAGGAATGCCGTGACATTAACGTGATTTATTTGTATTTGACTATATGTTTATAAAATTAATGTAAAATATTAAAAAACTTTTGCTACTTTCACATTTTATCGATTTTATAATATCAAATTCATCTATTAACATATTTTCATTTGAGATATTTCAGAATCTATCATATTGTTATCTCTTGAATCCAGGGATTCGAACCGAACCCGAAGAAGAAAACCCGGGTTTTTGGGAAAAAATCTGAACATGAACCGAACCCGTTATAAAATTTTCAAGGAACCGAACCCGTGAATTTTATTTGAACCCGTCAACCAGGTTTAGTGTATTGTTTAAAATCATATATTAAGATATTTGTATAATTATAAATACAGATATTAGTAATTTGATTGAGATTTTATAATATTTTCAACCAATTAAGTGAAGTGTTAATAAATTTTAAACAACTTAATTCATTTACGCCATTTTTAAAACTTATTTAATTTATTCTTAAAGATTCCTATTGGAGTGTTACAATTAAATTCAGGGTGGCGCGGTTCGGTTTAAGGTTAAAAAATATAGGTGGGTTCGGTTTAGGATATTTTTAAACCCGGGTTTGGTTCCTGGTTAAGATCGGGTTTAAGAATTTTCGAATTGATAAAAAAAAAATTTATATTTAAATCATAATTAAAAAACTAGACATAAATTTGGTATAAAAAATAAATTTCTATTTATTTATAAGTTAAAAATACAAAGCATAGTCATGTATAGATTTTAAAAATTTTATTTAGATGCATTTCTTTAAATTAACAATATGTTTACTTTCTTTTTCCTCTAATTAATAATCTTTGAGAGTAAGTTAAAAATTAAAAATAAATGGCGTAAATGAATTTAATTGTTTTTATTAACAATCTAATAGAAATTTGAGAACAAATTTAAAAAAATTTAAAAATGGAGTAAATGAATTAAGTTGTTTAAAATTTATTAACACTTCACCTAATTGGAAATTTGAAAATATCAAATAAATTATTAATATTTGTATTTACAATTATACAAATATCTTATATTAATTTAAACAATGAACCCGGGTTCAAAATAAAATTCCTGGGTTCAGTTCGGGGTTTTGAAAACGGGGTTCAGGTTCGGTTTGGGTTCAGATTTTCCCCCCCAAAACCCGGGGTATCTTCTCCGGATTCGGGTTCGAACCCCTGATTAAATTCATCGCCATTTATTTTTAATTTTTAACTTATTCTCAATGATTATTAATTAGAGGAAATGAAAGTGAACAAGTCAAGCTAAAAAATATTATATTGGATATTGTTAATTTGGAAATATGTCATTAAATTTTTAAAATTAAATACATGACTATGCTTTGTATTTTTAACTATATTTTGCCTATAAATAAAATAAAAAATTTATTTTTTTGCCAAATTTATGTCTAGTTTTTTAATTATGAAAAATATATAATTTTTTTTTCATCAATTCAAAAATTCTTAAACCCGAGATGAACCTGGAACCAAACCCGAACCCACTTATTTTTATTTTACCCAGGGTTCACATTTCTGCTTGAATCCATTCATAAAAATATCTTTTTGAGAAAATCGATATTTGTGGAAATCTATTCTTGTGATTAATATCAATGTTAAAATAAATATAAAAATTTATAAGGATAAATAGGCAGGGGTTTGTGGTCACCCCAAGCCTAAAACAGTTATAACTTATTTGCATATATTTCCCAAAAATTTATTAAGCTATAAAAAAATCTACATCGAAATTAAAGATTTGCAAATGGCAAAATTTTCAGGCCCGGCTCAGTAGAATTTAGCTTTGCATATCCTGGCCCATTTACTTTTATTAAGGTTGTCAGGCCCAGCTCAATTTTTTTTAAATACAGGTCCCTAACCATATATAATGATCACCAAAATAAACATCTATTTATAAGGGAGTGATTAAATTAAAAATGCCAAAATTTATGGATTATCACTTTTATCAATCAGAATTCAACAATAATCTAGCCCAATAATTTTTTTTTAAGCCTGGCCCGTTAAGTATTTTGCTGGCTTAGCATAATGAATTTCTTTTCAAACGTTATCCAGTCCATGTCTGGGTACCAGGTATTGCATATCACTACTAGAAATACCTATAGAATTTAACATTTTTTTAAATTTTTTGGTGTTCGCATAAACCCCACCTGAGCTGTCAATTGTTAAATTTTATCATTGATAAAAACAAAATTATCAGAAAATATTTTAAATATAAATTATTAGATCTTTTAAAATTCATTTTATATTTAATTATATTTTACTTTAATATGGGGATATAAATAATAATTTGAGATTTTAAAAATAAATAGAAAATAGCATATAACATTGAATAGAAAATTTGTTTTAATTATTCTATTGATCAGCAAATGATTCATAAATTATGTATGGAATAGGAATGTTGGTTTTAAGAATTTCCTATTTAATAAAATTGCATTTTGATTTATGTAGAAATTGCAGATATTTAATAATTAAATATGCATACTTTATTAAAAAACCATACAATCATTAAAACTCATTCTTAATTTAAAACAGTATATTTTAATTAAAAACTGCTTATTCAATTAATTAATGTTAAATAATTTAAGCTTTGCTTTTAAATAAAAAAACTGCATATTTAAAGAAAGAACACTATAAAATTTATTTGACTTTAAAATTGACCTTATCACTTTACATAATAAACCAAAGAGAAAGGCTATTTTAAAAAAAATAATTGATCATTTAAGAAGCCTAATATAAGAAAGATTAGAGTATAAAATGAATAAGCAATATTTCTCACCCATATCTCTTAATAATATCTTACAATTATAAAAAAACTTAGCCAGTTTATTAAGTGTCTAACATAATAAAATGGCTGACTAATTAACCTTAGCCATTTATGGCTAATTATCCTCGCCATTTTTATGGTTGTGGCTAATTACCTTAGCAAATTTTATGGTTGGTTAAATAACTTACACCATTTTTATCATGGCTTAATATTTGCCACTCATTTTTAGTAATAAATGTTTTACCATAATAAATCTAATTTATATTAAAAAATTATTAATCATTATAATACAATCTAAATCATTGCTCTATCAAAATTATTTCCTTGGTTCATTTTCTAAAATTTCCATTTTTAAGGGCCCATATCTTTAGAAGTAAGCATGACTGGGAAATAATTATATTAAAATGGAAAGTTTTACACATTCCAAAGAGGTTAGGTTGAAAATAGACCTTTTTTGGTGGATCTGATGTAAAATAGAATTTAACTGGGCTAAAAAATTAATGTTTAAATAAGAACTGTCAAAATGAAAGAAGATTATTTATTAACTCTCCAGATCAAAACATTTCCTAAATTGTGATTGAGAAGGAAAAATAAATGTTAAATTTGTAAGAATGGTACAAGGGGCATGAATAAAAAAACATTTAAAATATAACATAATAAAAGTTAAGTATAAATGCAAACAAAATGTTTAAATTTAGATATTAATATTTAATACCTTTTTCGGGGTCTAAAAATATTCTGTCAACTTCACCATATCTGGTAAATATATTTCGAATACGTTTAACGGTCATCCTTGGAGGTAAAAAAGATATATATATTATTCCAGGTTCACTTTTTATGTTCATTGCTGGATAACAAAAAGATACTTCGAGATTCATAGCAGGTGACAATCTATTAAATATTGACATTGTTAACGGAACATCAAGTAGGTTTGAATTAGTTAGCTTGAAAGTTCAATTTAAATAGTTGACATCATGTAGTAATTATATGTTGGTTTATAGCCATTTTACGTTTTTGTGATATATGCAGGGGAACTCACTAGCCTTTACAATCTCTGGGGGCTCCAAAATATTTTATAAATTTTTTTTTAGCTAAGATTATCCAAAATATCCTTTATTTCTAGCTAATATTATTCAATTTTTTTATTTTTATTAGTGGTATAAAAAAAATTAAAATTTATACCCCCTGCCCCTCCGCCCAGTGACGCTACAGGATATATGTAAATCTTGTTAGTGATGATAAATCGCTCCATTGAAGCCGATTATAAAATCTGCTAACTCAATATTTTCGCTAGGAAAAATTGCCTAATCTCGAAATTTCGCTAATAGATGTCCAAGTCTTTTTGCCAAATATGAGCAATCTTCAGGCTTTCGTAATATTTTTCCAGATAAAATACTATTAGTGTTAATAAAAATCAGCTCGAAAGGAGTGATTTTGATTCCAAAATCTTGTGACCAGATTTATTAATCGATAAATGGAATGAATCACGTTCATGATCTTTTTAAAAAAAGGTTTAAATGCATAATCGAGTTTTCTTTTTAAAAATAAAAATATCTATCACGATTCTTTTTTAATGCAATATTTTTTCAATGATGCATTTTTCTATAATCCCCGATTATTATTGCTCAAAAACAATGACGTTCTGCTTATTAATATGTCAAATATTTTATATGGTTTGATTTATAAAAATAATTTGACTATTCCATATTAATAAACTTGACACTTCATCTTTGGTGTTATTTATTTAATAATAACTACAATTTTATCATGAATAATTTTAAACATTCTAAAAATCTAACGCACCAACGTTCATTAATAAAAAGCATTCTCATTCAATGTTCACCTTGGAAAGATGGAATAAAACTTTATATATATTTTGAAACTTGAGGAAATTCCCGGGAAAATAAGAAAAAATTGAAGTTCATTTATATATATATATATATAATAAGATTAATATAAATAATAAAAACCCAAATAGAAACGAATTTATATTATTATGAGTAATATAAGATAAATTAAAAATCATCCACAGAATCAGAAATACATTCTAGAAAATATATATCTCTTTATTGATTGTTCTCATTTTATTGGATGAAACCAATATTCTCACTATTTCATGGTGTAGTCAATTTCTTATCTTTGATTGTGTGTTTCCAAAGGTGGACCTTATTCTTTCTAGGACTTTAATGGATAGGGGGATTAAGAATACTTGCAGCTATTAATCAGATTGTTTGACTTGTATAAATAGAAATATTTGTAATACCTTTCCATTTAGCATGACGTTTCCAAAAACATTATTTGCACTGATATTTAGCTATATTTACTATTACTTTGTTTAAATCAAAAATTATACGATTGTTTAATTTATGTAGAGTGATAAAGGCAGTTGAAAATTCATAAGCAGACAAGCTTTTGCCAAAATAATGTGGGTGCTAACGATTTGCTGCAAAATGAAAATCTGGACAGCAAATTTTTTTTCTTTTGCTTAATGTTTCAAAGGGAGATGATAGTCGTACGTCATATGCCTATTAGCAAGGTAAAAATTCTATCGTTTTCTCTTGTTCATACTTATCGAATCGATGGAATTTCAATGATGAACGAGCAAATATTTAGATTATAACATCACGCTCTTGTTATTTAAGGAAATAATAAGAAGTTTAGGTAATAATTCTTTATATTTTTATTATAGTAACTTAATTTCCATCAAATCATAATAAAAAACAATTGGTAATTTTGAAAGCCTTATTCAACAATAATTATTTTTAATTAAATAATTGGTAATCTCATGGCTTTATTGAAGTATAAGCAATAATTATTTATATTTTTAATATAAAAACTAAATTTTTTAGAAATGAAAGGAGACCTGTTTTATTCCTTTGAAATTTTGGGAGCTATTTATTGTATTATACAATAAACCTTTATTCAATCAAACAATCAATGTTGTTAAAGTCGTGCGCTACTTTATAAAATTAAGAGACATAAAAATTATAAAAATATATTTACTAATAATTCTAAAATCTAATTTTTTAGAACTTTAAATTTTAAAATCTGCATTATAAATCTAGTTTTCAAACAATGTATATCTTAAAATGTCGACGATAGAGATTGATATTGGTACAGATCATATGGACAAAGTAATTTTCCTGGAAAATGGATAATATGGAATTTTATTTTCCTGTCGTAAAGTAATTTAATCTCGATAAAAAAATTTAACATGGGATATAAATTTTATTGTAAGATGTGCGAAGGTTTTATCATTAAACAAGACTAGTAGCTTCAACAAGAAAATTATTAAAAGTAATATATCAAACAAATATAATATCAATTTGTACAATCCTTAATCTTGAAAATTAAATTTGAATCAAAGCTTTATCTCTAATAGTTTTAGAGCTAGATGATTATGTAAAAGACTATTTTGTAGTCTAGTCCAAATATGGTATCTTCAACTGGCAAAGGCCATAGCCAAGAATTTATAGCGGGGGGGGGGGGGCAACTGATTACTTAGGTGGCCAATTTTTTTTGAAATAAAACAAATAGTTAGGCACTCATATAAATTTTTTGCTATTTCTATTAAAAATTTGTATAAGATGATATTTATCTTTAAATTTTAACAATTAAAAGCTAAATTCTGTTATTTTTTTCCATAAGCCATTAGTACTAAATTTTGTTTACATTTTCATCGTCTCTAGTGCTCTATAGAACTCCCTTTAGTAAAACAGCAAATGACACTTTCTTTTCAGTTACTACATAAGATAGTCCTTTTCTAGCAATATCAAACTCAAAGTCTCTTGGAAGAATTCACTATAGTTATGAGAAACAAAGCTAATGCACGTGGAAGGCCCAAATCTTCAGAAAAAATAAGGAGCGTAATTAAAACACATTTAAATTTGTTATTAAATTGATAGTTCAACATTAAAAGATATAAATTATATTGAAGAACCGTAAAGTCTTAAGCCCGGTAGCTATTGCATTAGACAAATTACAAGTGCAAAGTAGTTCTTTTTATGGAATATTAGTGCCCATACACTTTCTGGAAGAGGAACTTTGGTAAACTTGAAAATTCAAGTTTCATATTGTTAACTTTATTAAAAGCTGTACAAAATGGAGGATTTTTGAAAGTTTTTTCAAGATGATGAATATAAGGAAGAATTTTTGGCATCATTATCACATATACACTTTAAGAACATATGGATTGAATGAGATGATAAAAAAATACCTTCAAAATATATTATTAAGAGAAGCGTGAAGCTCTAAATTTAGTACTAGTACATAATTAAACTTTAATCATCAGATTTAACAACAAATCACCAACTAGGGAGGTTGAATTATGTGAAATAGAAAAATTTAATTATTATCCTTCTACGAACTAAAGTGTTTTAACGAATTTAGTTCATCAACTAAAAGTGTTAATGAATTAAAAGAGTTGATGGAGTGGTTTGATTGGAATGGTGTGAGTTTTTGCCATATGTACCTATCAGGTGGTTATCATTAATACCTGCCATCGATGGAATTTAATATAAAAAAAAATATTTCTTAAATAAAGATTTTAAAAGCTGTCCAAAAATTTTGAATTTTCGAATATGAAATGGCAGAAGCATATTTGGGATTAGTTTCACATGTAGGAAATCTACTTCATGCAGTTAATATTCTGTTGCAATCAGAATATTCTTTATTAAAAAAGATTTACAAAATCATGCTACAGGTCTGTTCATCTCAACAGTTAAAAATTGATATTAAATTTTATGGCGCTATTGCTAAAAATATTATATTAAAATGTTCAACTAATACTCTAATTAATACATTTTTAAATGAAGCAGATATTTTTATTAAGACAATTTTAGAATATTTACAATGAAAATTTGATTTTAATAACTTTATTTACAAATGTATAAATATTATGACCTTGGAACAGAAACCGTCAATTGATGATTTTTGTAATTTAATAAATATATTAAAAATACAGAAAGACATTGATTTCTTGTTTGAGGAGATTATAGTTCTCTCTATTTTTTATGATTCGCCAAAATACTTAAAGTTAGATAGTCTAAAAGCAGATAAGAAATGGGTAGAATTTTTTCGTAATAACGATAAATCCCCGTGCTTGGAAAAAATATGCGAGTATTTCTTCTCCTTACCTCATTCTAATGCCTCACCCGAGCGCATTTTTAGCCTGATGAGGACTGCCTGGAAAAAGGAGAGAAATCGGATTGCTTTAACAACATTAGAGGCCGACTAATGTTTAAACAAATTTATAATATGTCATACCAGGATATAAATATCTCAATAACGACGGTAAACGTTTAGTTCCATTATTTAAATCTCAAATAAAATATAATTAACATTATAACTATTTAATTTTCCATATTTTTTTATATTTTATAAAATCTTATTTATACATTCGCATAAAATAAATATATTTTTTATTGTAAATCAAAAATAGAGAGCATTACAATCTCCTCAAACAAGAAATCAATGTCTATCGGTATTTTTAAAATATTTGAACATTTTAATATAGTTTTAGCAATGGCATCATAAAATTTATTGTCATTTTTTATCTGCAGCATAATTTTGTGAATTATTGTTAAGATTCTTCTGATTGCAACTGCACATGAACAACATGTAGTAGATTTCCTACATGTAATATCATTCCTAAATATACCTCTGCCATTCATTATTGAAAAAAAATTTCAAAATGTTATTAGGACAGCTTTTATAATCTATATTTAAGAAATATTTTTTTAAAGGTTTATAAAATTTTATAATTCTATCGATGGCGGGTATTAGAAACAAATCGCAAAACCAAAATTGTGCTGACTTAATTCTATAAATACACTCTGGTTTTTCCAAATTCACTGAGGCATTATCAGATCAGAAAGCTGATATGCAATTTATTGATAATCCCGAATCTGCTATTTTACCATTATATAGCTATGTCTTTGGATTTTTCACTATTTGAGGGGAAAAAATTTAATAGTTTTATTGAAACGATCTTAATTTTGTTGAAACAGCGGAGGATCAAGGGAAATATTTTTCCCCTTAATGCCCATCTTTCAAATCGTCAAGAATTGACCTCCTGGATTCAGTTTCTAAAACATTGATGATTTCCTTGCTCATTTTTGTTCTACAAGTAAAGTTTTCACTTATCTTGGAGTCATTAAATATTATGGGGATAGATTCCACCTATATTGTAATGATAAGTAGCTCTGTGAATGTTGTACTACAAGATAAGTGATTACAATTGCCGCAACTGTAGTTGCATCTGTATATTATTTCTTATATATGGAGAATATTTTTGTTTTGCAATGAATGTAGATACACTCCCCTGCACTGATTATAATAATGTGATTAAACTATAATAAATAAAATAATTATAATTGAAATGAGTACAATATTATCTTATTATGTATTTAAACTTGATATCTGATAATTAAACGCCTATCCCTATAATGTTACACACACACTGTAGATTTCCAATTGCGATGTTGCGGGATATTCGCATAAAATATATTTTTTACATTGTTAATCGTTTTTTTTATAAAATCTTATCTTGTTTACATTCTTTTATATCTAAAAAGATCGTTGTTTTTTTATAAATTAATATATTTTATCAAGATGTTATTTTATTTTGAAAAATATTGACCGACTTTCCATTTATATAAACTAACTATAAAAAATAATAGACGGATAATTGAGTGAATTGGCTCGCAAAAAATTTTTTTTTAGCAGTTTTTATATTTCTACCGCAATTTTATTTCTCCCGCAAAATACTAAATTTCTCAATTTGAAAATAGGTAATGATATTTTAAACAAATATTTTGCATTTAAGATACACCCATTTAATAAAGATTAAAAATAACTTTTATTTTGTATCTTTTTAATATTTTTATTGATACTAATATCTGTAACGCTTCTTTTTTGCAAAGAATTTTTATCTAATTTCCTTTTATGAGGACCTGCTATGACCTTATTATTTTCTAAATTAGCCTTTAATAACTTTTTTTCAAAATTAATGTTATTTAAATACGTCTTTCATTAGGAACGTATTAAGCATTATTACACAAGCGCTCTATATGCTTGAAGACAAAGTATTATATTCTGCATATATTTATTTTCAATTATCAAAATATTAACTGATTCATCATTTGAATAAAAAAAGATCATAAAGTGAATTTTTATAAAAAGCTTTAAACTCATCCATTATTATTAGAATTCGATTCTTGATATGATTTTTCAAATGAGTAATATATTCTGTCAGATTAATATAGTCATATCTTAGATGTATCATTGCGGCAATAGTATCAATATCCCCAAAAGGGGAAAGCAATCTACTTCATTTGCTTAATTTCTAAAAAAAAAAAAAATTACGGAGTTAAGAAAATGTTAAAGACCTTTTATATTATCAAGATTATCTTCCTTTACAACTTCAATAATTATAATTTCATTTAGTATATATCTTTAACTTGATTAGTTATAGACATTGATAAACCCAAAAATTATTTATCTTAAATTCAATATTTAAAACTTGTCTTAATTAAAATTTAAACTAAAAGAGTGGGAAATTAATATAAATTATGATAAAGGGGAGGTAGCCAGGAATTTCCAGGTTGTGGGGGGGGGCTACTGTTTATTTAGGGGGACCAATATTTTTTTGAAATAAAATAGCGCTCATAAATATTTTTTGCTATTTTTACTGAAAATTTGTAAAAGATTTAATTTTTAAATTTTAACATAAATGATTTAAAAGCTAAATCCTGTGTTATTTTTTTTCCATAAGCCATTAATACAAAATTTTGTTTACGTCGATTTTTCATCATCTCTAATGCTCGATATAACTCGCTTTAGTGTAGAGAATGAGACCTCACAAAAAGGGTTGATATATGATGATAACTGCTGAGTTGCATTTATACAATTCCTTAAATGCAATAACTTTTTTTTGTACATAATATTTGCGATATTTTCAAAATATATTTCATTAACTTCTGCAGTTAATATTCATTTTGTTATTTTATTTTATGTTGGAACGTTTCCATAAGTTTGATAATGATTCTAATGGGGTCATTTTATCTGATATAAAATAATTAAGACCAAATGAACAATTTATTAAGAAGATTATAATTATCTTGTGTAAATATCTAAAAAACATTTAAAAAGTAATTAATAATTTCATATTCCTTTTAAATGACTATCAATTGTAGTCCTTTTCACAATCAAATTGCAAATTGGTATCGACTAAAATCTTGAAATTTATAGGCGTTTAACGTACCCCTGATGATTTTTGAGGGATGAGATTAATTTTAATATAAGTTTCTTAGCCTTAATTCTTATCAAAAATAATTATCTTTTATTTTTTAATATATTAATTGTGGAATCAATACAATTTTTAGCATCCACTAACTGACCGTAGATATTATTTAGTGAATCTATTGTTATTAATACCTCATAAACTAAAATGGCCATAATGTAATTTATATTAACACATTAAACTAAAAGACCAGAAGCTTCAATTAAATAATGAGTGGAAACCTCTGAGTTAAGAGTTCTATTAGAAAAGTAAAATAATACTTCACCAATAGCTCCAAATTCTCATAAATGATACAGATGTTTCTAAAGACCTGTCCACCAGGGAATGGCCTGTATATTTACATATGTTAAAACGCCTAAAAAAATTATACAATGTATTAGATAAATTTAATAATAAGAAATTATCATTATTATTACCAACTTAGAACTACAAGATGCAACTTGTTTTAAAAACGGTTAAATCATTGAGTTAGCCGTTTTTAAAAATCAGCTCAAATGGAGCAATTTTGCATAACTAGTTGTAGCAATATATGTAAGGCCCTTTTTTTATTCATTTTTTTTGAAGCAGAGTTTGTAATCACCCATTTAGGCCAGACATGACGTCTGCACCATCATAAGCCTGGCAAATTATATTGTTGCTTTAAAATACAATAAATCAATAATTCCTATTCAATTTTTTTAGATTTCGCCATAAAAATATAAAGAATAATTATGCTCAGGTTTTTACAACTTGTTTATTATTTTGTATAAATCAAATAAATAATATTTTTCTAAAAATTTTGTTGTAAATTTAGATTTTGGATTTAAATGTTAATGGTGAAAAAATTTAATAACTAAAAAAAATTTAAATTTGGGGGACACAATTTTTTTCAAAAAGCCATGTTTGGGGCCAAAAAATTTCTTAGGGATGGGGGGGGGGTCTACCTCCCGAAATCCCCCCTTGGTTACAGCCCTGCAACTGCCCATAAGATATTATTCCAGAATTATATTATGAAGTAAAATTAACAATAAATAATAATCATTAAATTTTCATTTTTATTCAGACTATGCGATTTAATGAAAATATTTTATAAATTTATAGATGTTATACATGCTTAAAATTAACCACTCATTATATATTTATACATTTTATCAAAACATGTTAAAAATATATATTTCAATCCTTTCACATTTTAACCAATTTTGAGAAAAATTGGTTCAATAGATAAAAAGTTAATAGGTTGTGGTCTGGTCAGTCAGCAAACTTGGCCATTTATGCCACTTATCATATTTATTTTCTATCTATTACTAATATAATTTTAGACTGACCTTAGCCAGATCAAAAAAGCCATCTACTATAAATGATTTTTCTGAAATAAATAATAATACTATTGAAAATCCTTTAGAAGCCTTTTATAAATTTAAAAATAATCAAATGAATATTTTTGATTATTTTTCTTGTAAAAAAAACATTTATATTAAATTTAATACTGCATTACCCTCAAATTCTAGTGTTGAACGATTGTTTAGTCATAGCTTATACTTTCTGATCATCGCTCTAGATGACAGTATAGAAATGTTATAAGATGGAATAAAAAATATATATTTGAAGTTTTTACGCCATATAACTTGTTCAATAAATAATTTTATTTATAGAAAAACGCATTTCTATAATGACACATTATTGTAATTAATCATCACATAAAAAAGTAGGCATAGTGATATTGCACAATTCTTCCGATTCTAGAATTGGGCTATTGGATATATCGTAATCACTCTTTATAACATTATGGCCAATATGTTCAGCATATATCTCATTGATTTTGTTATTAGAGGTTATAGGTTCACCAGATACATTAGTGGCATTGATACTTTCCTTATTTGAGATTATTTTTTTGGATTGATAATATGAATTTTTGATCTTACATTTGCTTGTAGGTATAAAATACTTAATATGGTTATTATTACCAATAATATTTGGCTGTTTAATATAAGCATTATCGTTCTTTTTTATTGAAGTATCATCGCTTGTTAAAGAAACAGCATTGGAAATGTTTGGATAAAAATTTTTAACATAAATTTTATTGCCGTTTGTTTTGGTGATATTATTAACATTGCCTTCCAAAATTTCGCTTAACATTATATTGAGATCCTTTTCAGAGTCATGATTATGAATCAAATCAACTTTTTTATCATTAATTTCTTTCTTATCATATAGTTTTTCTTTAACAGAGATACGAGTCGACGTGGTATGATCGATAAACTTTTTGGATTTTTTAGTGTTAACATCCATTTTAACACCGTTTTCGCCTGGCATAAAAATAGTATTGATATTGAGTAAAAAATTTGAATTGCTTGATATATCTGGTAAAGATTCGATTTCATCGAGTATCACATAGGGATTAAATGGATGCCTCGTGAAGATTTCCGCGAACTCATCTAAACGAATCTATTTAATAAAAAATGAGTATTAATATATAATGCACTACTTCACAAATTAAAAGGGAAGATATATAGTTTAATAAAATGAACTATCCTATATTATTCGGAAACATGACTAAGAAAAGAATCAGATGAGAGAAGTGTACAGACAATGGAGATGAGAATGCTGAGAATGATAGCAGGGGGGAAAAGGATAGGATAAAAAATACAAATATACTGGGAAGTTTAAAGGTATACCCAACAAAGACCATGGTGAACAGACTTAGGTGGTATGGAGATGTGATGAGAAGGACTAAAAACTATATAAAAAATAAGGTTGAGCTTAGAAGTGGTGGGTAAACGAAAGAGTGGAAGATCAAAACTCCAATGGACCACAAAGCCATAATCACTAAATATAAATTGAATAAAATGGAGTGAATGAATAATATAAAAAAAACTTAGATTAAATGTGGTAATGGTTATTGGTAGGCACGTTAGTCCAAAAAATTAAAGGTTACAGTTATGGGACGTAATATCTATGTTACACAGAAAATAAGGTGTACTGGTTATAATTAGTTAGAAAAATTAAAATGTAACGTTTAAGAACTTTCTATTATATAATTAAATTGCAATGAAAAGGGGATAAAATACAATAAAGATATGAATGTGCAGAATCAATCATGAATCCTTATGTAAGCTTATTTGGTACATATCTTTTATTTTGGGGAAAATAGAGATGGGGAAAATGAAATGAAAATACACACATCAACTAATTTTTTAATGTTATATTTTCATGCTATGTATTAAAAATTCGAATGAAACTAAACCCCAACCAATTATTGGCGCAAGGTTTTTACGTCTGATGCTTATACGAGTATTAAATATTATCCATGAGAAAATCTCCTTTCTCTTTAAAATAGGTATTATTTCTTTGCTTATTTTAAAAATAAATCAGATGAAGATATAGATATTTTAAAGACAAAAGATTATAAGATAGTTTCTAATAGAGCTGCAACATCCACATAAAAAAATCTGTAACGGTGCCAAATTTTCCAAATGAAAGTGGTTCAGATAAATTAGAATTTTTTTAAACTTCTTATTATAGGTAAATTTTAAAATGTTTATTTTTTAATGATATTTAGATTGTGGATATCGGTTCCTTTGAGTGGAAATGGGGGGATCTAAGAATAAAATATTTTCATATAGTTACAAGATCAGTTTTATATATAAAAACTTAAGTACGGCCAATTAATTTATGGTTATTCATAAATATAATTTGTTAATGAATTATGAGCAAGGTTAAGCAGTCAAATATTTATATTTCAAATACCAAAATAAATATAATTTGTTAATGAATTATGAGCAAGGTTAGGCAGTCAAATATTTATATTTCAAATACCAAAATAAATTTAGAGAAATAGTGTATTTCCAGCCAATTTTAGACCTACAGCATCGCTTCCAAATCACCAATACCAAATATAGGTGCAGCTTAGATTTTATTAATAATTAGATGAGGGAAAGAATTATATCTTAAATTGCATTATATTTGTATAAATATCAGAAACCTGTAAAGGTAATTTAAGGTCGTCGGGTAATTCCTTACCAAATCAATAACTTTACGACCTGATTTTTTAAATTTTGAATACTGGGAGAGTATCATTGAAAAGCATCGAATCCAAAATTTTAGCTTCCTAGTACTAATAGTTTCTGAGGTATCAATGATCATCAGTGCCCAAGAAAAATACGATTTAAAAAAATTGATTAAAAAATAATGATGACAAAAATAAAAATTATATGTCATATTAGAGGCCTTTTAATATAAATTAAGGATTTTTTTAAAAGAATGTTGCGGTTTTTATTTACCTTATAAATTTTAAACCGGAAAGCTCTAGTTGTTTGGCTTTCCGAATTTCTTTGAATTTAATATGTTATTATTCACTTATATTAATCAGTTAGAATATCATATAATAGAACATTTAAGATATTAGTAATTTATGTAATACTAAATATAAAAATAAAATCATAAATTCAATATTAATTAATGAATAAAATTTAGATATAAATTGTAAGTAATTAGGGGGTATCAGTCATTGAGAATATGAAGCTGAGGTAATTGGATTTTATTATATTGAGGGCTAATCTTTGGCGTAGGTAGTAACCCTCGTTGGGATCTTCGGTCCTAGTAAAGATTCGTTTCCCCAGCTCTTTAAAGAAGGCAAGGGCGTGAGAGCCGAACGATGTTAGAGTCGTGGCGATTAGTGGTAGGAATGTGTAATTGGCCGGAAGCGATGGCGAATATTTAGCGAGTTTATTCGTCTCGGCGTCTACTAGAGCATCTCTATTTATATTGGAAGGGGCAAGGGGATCGATGCATGAGAAATCCCAGGTTAGAAATTCCCCCCTCTTCCAAGGGATCATGGTAGAGCCATCGGGACGCTTACCATCAGAATTGTAGAGTCCAGTGGGTTCTAGGGTTGATGGGATACCGGCAGATTTTAGGGCCCTGGCAATAGTATCATTGCATTTTGAATGTCTAATGAATCTGCCTCTACAGCGCTTGCAGTGTAAAGAGTGACGGCCTTTGGAGTTGACCGGCGTTTGACAAAGGATGCAGTGATAGGGTATTACCATATCACAATTAAGTCTTAGACCGATGGCGTGACGTAGCTCATCATTGCTTAGAAAAGCTTCGAAAAATTCATACCCGCTGTCTGCGGAAATGGAGAAGAGTAGAGAATGGTCCTCGGGTTGGCTCCTCGATTTAAGGTATGCAACGGAGTTGCCAACTAGAGGCTTATCCCAGTCCTTCTGCAGTGTCGATGAGGGAGGATCGACTAATGAAAGAGATTTCCATAGATCAATTGCCTGGGGAAGTAAAGGGTCAGGATGTTTTGTGAGTGCGTGTATGATGGGCTCGCAGGACAGGCGAGAGGATATGAACGCACTAACAGAGAGTAGGGAAGGCGATCGTATGCCAATGCCGCCGGATTTGGTTGGCAAGGTAGCTTGTAGCTTGTAGCCAAGATAGGTCTCCGAATTTGAGATTGAGTATATCCTCTGTAAGGTGTTTAATCTCGTTCGTGTGCAGCAAGGTTGACGTCGTATTGGAAGATACGTGACGATCGGAGTGTATATAGAATTTTTGGGATTAGGAGGTAGTTCTTTAATAGAAAGAACGCTTGGTGGGCTGGGAGGCGAGATAGTGTACCGCGCATAAGGGATATCTCTAGTAGAGTGTCGGCGAAGAACTTGACAAAGGACTCGTCTTTACCCACTGGAGATCCGAGATGTGTTAAGAAGTTCAATGGTGTATGATTGAACATAGAATCATAGTTAAGGTCGATGATTCCAAGAGGACAATATTCGCTCTTGTCTTGATTGATTCGCAGTCCCAAACTGCTCTCGCTGGATTTTTTTATTTATTTGTAAAATAAATTTAAACTTGGGACAACCATGGGGTTTTTAGTTATAATTTTTTTCAAAAATAAATGGCGCTACTATATAAAGCGCATTTTTGTTAAAATTATTATTTTTTTGTGTATTTGCCATTTTTATATATAAATAATAAGATTTTCCAGCATTAACATAATGAAATGAAATTATTTAGCTGCGGTTATAATCATCATTCTCTTGTAAATAATAAATTTTCGAACATAATTAATATAATTAAAATTAATGAAAGATATCACCTATTTTGGGTTTTTGATGAAATTAAATTTTTGACTGCCTTGATAATTTCGTTTTGCATTAAATTATAATTATGCCCAGTGGTCTTTGATGGACTCATTGTTATATTTGATATAAAAAGAAGATCTGGTGTCGCTGGTTAAGCAAAAGAATTTGCTCGTCCTTTCGAATGAAAAAAATTTATTTTAATTTCAACTAACTCTTTATATCTACTTACAGCCAATCGTTTTCTTACATACAGGTCACACTCTAATTTCATCGATACAGATCCTCGCGTGGATTTATCATATTCTCCATAATAAAAGTGCGAATTGGAATATATTTTAGTATTGAGGGTGATTAAAAATATTGCTTGAATATTTTATGTCCCAGATATTGCCATAGATTTACTAAATTAGCCTTATCTCTTCTGCCTCATATTCTGATAGGGACAAAAATTGTGATTTTTAAAAAAAAATATATATAGATTTTCTTGATTTGAATCGCGATTTAGAATAATTCAAATATTAATTAAAGAATTATGGGCTAAGATTGTAAAATATCTTTTATTTTTAAATTGCAGTTTAATATTATCTTGCAAGTAAAGGACTAATGCTCATGGGAACAAGTCAGAAAATTGTTGAAAAATAAAATGATATATGTTGCAAATTAATATTTTTTTAAAATAAAGAGCAGATAAATAATATGACAAAAATGAGGGATGATTTGAAAAGAAATAATGAAAATTATATAATAACCTATGAGCGTAGGGCTTATTTTTTAAATAATCTACTATCAAAAAATTAGAAAAATAAAAGTATCCGGGAACAAATATTTAGTATGGTAAAATATTTCAAAAATAATCAGTTTGCAAGTTTCAAACCGAAACAACTTGTCACCCCACAAGTACTCGTTAGAACTCATTTGTAGATAATTTAAATGCCTACATAACTGAATGGGCAAAATTATTCAAAATATGTGAAAGCAATCAAAATAAAATTGACATTGCAATTAGAAAAAAAATTGAAAATATTACTCAAAAGAACTGCTGAAGCCATGAAATTGAGTCATCCATGTCGTAACTTTTCGCATTCTTTTTATAATTAAAGTGCTTAGATTCTTTAAAAGGATTTAAGCATTTATATATTTATACATTATAAATAATTTTATTAAAAAATATAATTACTATTGAAATAATTGTTAAATTAATTTATAGCAGGATGGGTGTGTGAAAGCTAGCTTTTATCTTTGAACAATTAATTATTATATTTTCTTGCAAATATCGGAATTATAACTATTTTAATAGGAAATTTAATCATTTATTATAAAAACAATAAATTTTTACAAGTTATCAATAATAATAATAAAACCTATCATCGGAGACTTATATAAACTTTTTTCACGATATTAATGCTAGAAAATCTTATTATTTATGCTCAAAAATGGAAAAAATAAAATTAAAAAAAATAATTTAACAACCTTAATATACTTTTAAAGTTACAAAATGTAATATAATTTCTATTTTAAGCATTATTATTTTTTTCAACTCATCTCAATAAAATCATATTTTTAGAAAAAGGTCATTAATATCTCAGGAACTATTAGTACTAAGAGGCTAAAATCTTGGATTCGATGCATTATAATGATGTTCTCTCAGTATATCAAAATTAAAAAGATCTGGCTGAAAAGTTAGGATTTGAAAAAAAAATCAATTTCAAACCCGACCCAGATTTAAGAAATTTTTTATTAAGACCTGGCGCGGCTAAGATTTTTATTTTTCATCATTTTTTGGGCCGGTCAAAAATATTAATATTTTTCATCATTTTTTGAGCCGGTCAAAAATATTTAGAATTTCTGTAACTTTGATCATTTTGATTGTATTTTGCAAATTGTTTCAAAATTAAAAATATGAGATTCCCACTAGTTGATATCATTTTTTAAAAAAAATTTTAATGGACGGAAATTTTAATTTTTTTAAACTTGACCAAGATTTTTAATATTTAAGCCCGTTCCAGACTGAGTTCCTTCCGGTTATAAGTCTCTGATAAATATTCAAATTATGAAACATCTTGATATTTTTTTAGGTTGAATCTTCGTCATCTTAAAAATATTTGTAAATCATAGTTGAGTGACAAACCGCCTTCATCTCTAGTAGAAATCACCAAAAAATTTTTATGTCTTAGAAATTAGCAAATAAAATCTCCATTTTCAGAAATTAAGTAAAATTTTATAATTAAGTAAGGATATTCTATCCTAGCATCTCTTAACTGCATGTTAGGTGAATGCCTTTCATATTAACTATTTTAATTATTATAGCGTAGGATCATGTCATAAAAAATTAGAGGAAATAAATATTAATGAACAAAAACGAAAGCATATAATTAATCAAATTAAAATTAATAACTTTATCATATTCTTCATTTATCAAGATTGTTAAATTTTCTGTGAAAGAATTCGCTTTTGATTGTAGAGATAATAACTTATTCTGTTGAGTATCATGTTTAGACCTAGCTTCATGTACGTTACGAACGATTGCAGCTTGGTAATTCTTTAATCTTATTGATAGCTTTTCCGATTTAAAAAAATGGTCTTCTGAAAACGCATCATGTTCTTTCATAACTAATATTATATTTTGAATTTTCATTCATTAAAATAATTGAAAAAATAAGAAAAAGATAACCTTGAAAAACCTTAGAAAATATATTCTAACAGTTGAAATTTGTTATGTATTGAATTGTTTATTTTCATTATTATATTATTATATGTTGAATACGAAAAAGAAAATGTTTTTCGATGAAATAAAGAAAATTAATTGCAAGAATTACTAACATTATATTTCGATTACTACTAACATTACATATCAGAATTATAAATTATCAACTCCTTATAATAAATATTTTAAATTTATACAATGAAATCAGTAAATTGGGTACTTCGATGCAACGTTTTAAATTTATCGTGTCATGATTCATGAGGGTTAATAATCTTAATACTATATTTCGAAAATCGATTACTTAGGGAGTAAAATTTCTGGGGTGATCATTAAATTTTCGAAAATGGTTGTGGGTGGATGTAAATCTGTTTTCAAATATTTATCTTACGGATTGTATATTTTTTAAAAAAATCGTGATTCAAGACATTTTTTTTAATGATTTTTGGACTGTTTTTACGATTGTTGAACTGAACTTGTAATTTATAATTGAAACGTTTTTAAATAAATAATTATAAAGTAAATTTTAGTAAACATATTATAATATATTATGTGCACTTAGTTTTAATTCATAATCAATTATTAAGCTTTAAATATTTAATCAAATTCCGCTTCTTCAGAAAGGTCATTTTCTTCTGCCAATATGATTTCTTCTGAAGTTCAAACATGGATTTTATTTTTTTTAAATGTTATAGAGTAATTTATGAAAAACAGTTGATAAAAATCAGGAAGAATATTATTAAATGTGGCATTAAATAACTCGTTAGTTCTAGTTGTTTATTATGAAAATTTACTAGAAAAGGCTAAACAAACAAAACTCAAACTAAATGAATTTATCTTCTTCTTATTTTCAACATGGAAATTTAAGAGAAGAGATTACTCTAAAAATATCGTTTACATCCTATGTTATTTCAGGTGAAAGAAGGAATATATTTTTAAAAACATTTTTTAATATAAAAAATACCGAATGCACATGATATTAATATATTTTTTTGATTGGACATGTCTGGAGGTAGCAGTATAGTTTATTTTTTATCCCTGACAACCAGCTTACAAATAGGGGAAAAAATTCATACTCATCCTATAGAATTATCTATAAAATTATTTAGACACCAAATTTAATAATATTCAGGATTGAACATTTTCGAATTGCGTGAATAGCTGCTAGTTTTAAAAAGTAATTTTACTACATTTACCCTACTTTAAAAAAGATTATATAAAATATTATCTATTATAAAATTCATATTTGGATATCAAGCATTAAAAAAATATCAATTGATTATATAAATAACAGAATATAAATAAGTGTTTTGAATAAAATTTCAAAATGTTTCATGTTTTGTCATAAATTAGTTTTTTGGCATATAAAATTTAATTTTTTATGATATTGGTTGAAAGATGATAGTAAATATAAATCAATTAAAATATTGGAGGTTGTGATGATCAGGGTAAAATTTGTGAATTGGCACAGTCCTAAAAAATGTTCGTTTTAATTTTCACTAAATAAACTATGAATTATAACGAAAATCAGGAGTAAGTAAATATATTATATAGCATAAATATTATTTTATAAGTTTATATCTATTTTTATATATATAAATAATTCAAATTGTATATTACAAGAGTGAAACATAAAAAAAATCAGAACCCATCCACCAATTTGGAATCTAGTTATTTATCACCAGGGTTTCAAACCAAACTTAGAGCAGAGAACAACCTAGACCGAACCTTCTAAAAGTCCAAACCGAACCTGGAATTTTTTTGAACCCGGATTCAATTGAGCTATTGAATTTTATATTTTAAATCATATATTGAGATATTTGTATAAATTATTACAGATATTAAGTGATAATGATAAAATTTGTGCGAAAAGGTATCTTAATTTTTAGAGTCAGATTACAACCATATCCACGCCCATTTTATCAGATAATTGTTTGGATTAAGTTATTGAGCAAGATGGTTTAGAGAAATGATACAACTTAAAGAAAGGCGGGAGCAACAATAATTACTGGATTTGGTGATATAAAAATTGAACAAGATAGAAAATATTATCATTTTTGGAGTTTACTAAGCTGTGCCCCTGATTTAAATTTTTTCTCCAAAATCTTATTTGGTGTTTCTGTAACCCAAGTTAGGTTATCATTAGGGGTGTACCGATACCACTTTTTGGAGGCAGATTCGCTACGATATTAAATTCATATCAGCTGAGTACCGATCCAATATTATATCTGATTTTGTATTCTGGAAACATACTAATCGTTTTAATTTTTATTGCATACATCTAGTATTGGATAATCGTTCCATTTGAGTTGATTTTTAAAAACGGCTAATTCATCATCTTATTCAGAAAAATATTACGCAAGCCTGAAGATTTTGTTTATAGATGGTACAAAGATTTAAATATCTATTAATGAAATATCAAGGTTTAGACTATATTTCTTTTAGCTAAAATATAGTTAGCCGGCTCAAATGGAGCGATATTGCATCACAACATACATTTAATTATCTCATACTTTTAAATAATATAACATCTATAATTTAACTATACCGTAACATAAGTCATTATATATTATAATGATCAGTTGGAGTTTATATTCATTAATCTAAAAGTAAATAAATTTTATTGATAAATCACTTAGTTATATAATAAAATTAATCTATATACATAATAAATAACAAATATTTTATGAAAATTGAAATAAATCTTTTTAAAAATTAAGACGTCATTTTATTGGATCGGAATATTTTATAATATTTGCCGATAACCGATATTTAAAAAAAGATGAAATATCACTTTAATCTAATAAAGAATACCGGTATATCTCTAGTTATCATATTTTCATATATATATATTTATTATTAGTGCTGTAAACATTTTTAAAAATATCGAACGCGTTCACGTTCAAATTCAAAAAAAGGAACGCGTTCAAGTTCATACGTTCAAAATTTTATGATAAATTTTTTTTTAAATTTAATTTAATATAAATAAATGCCTTATATTTTTCAACACAATATATTAACTATGATAAAAAATAATAGTTTTATTTTGATAATATAATTATAAATACAATATAATATTGCGATAAAAAAATAAATTTATAAAAAAATTTTCTTATTAATTTTTAATAATAATTGCTTTTCAAAATTTTCATCTGATAGGCTGAACGCTTGGCAGTTAATACAGCGTTAGCTATACTAAAAACTTGCTCAACAGGGGCAGATGAAGGGATTGCGGTGTTATACTTGATAAACAATTCTTTTAAAAGGGGGAATTAATTAAAAACATTTTCAAAATCCTCCAATCTGCCCTCTTCTTCCTCGTCAAAAAAAAAAAGATATCTCGGAATTGACAGTTCTTTCATTATCAATTCTTGGGGTTTCAATGCCTTTTTTCAAAAGAGCTATAAGTTTATTCTTTAAAGGTTCATTTTGTGGAAGCTTTATCCAGCTTGAATATCGGATGTATAATTGCTGAAAGAAGATATTAATCTTCATATATATGTTGAAATCTTTAAAAAAATAAAATATATGTAATTAATTTGATAGTGATAGGTTTAATACCTTTTATTAATCCCATTTAATACAGCATCTATCAATGGTTGCCCATATTTTAGACCACTGAGTTTGTTTAATTTTATAATAACTATTGTTATTGTCGGGGTCAAATATCCCAAATGCATCTTTTCCTCACTTTCTAAAATAGTGAGAGCTGTTGCAATAGGCTCCATGATCTATTTTAATATTTAAAAAAATTCATTATAATATTTATTCTAAAAAATTTTATTAGGACTTACAATACAGTACTCTTCCAAAAAAATTTTATCATTGTTTGAGTCTAGCTAATCCTCCCATATCACAGACTTTGTCAAACAAACTAGAATTTTCTTTTACTAAGGAATCTATTAATTTCAAAGAATTATAATAAGAATTCCATCGGGTAATAACAGGCCTAATAAGTAATCTTGACAAATTCTCTCTAAGTCTGCAGCAAATGATGTTGACTGATTTTGTTTGTTCCATAAACTTTTGCATTTATCAAATGCACAATATTCTTTTAAAGGATACATCTTCTAATGCTTTTTCAGCATCAACATTTGCCACTAAATTAAGATTGTGGCAACAAGAGTGATGTTTGGGGAGATAGATAAAGTTTTCCTCCCTATTTTGATTTTCAAACACCTCATTTAATGATAATGATTCAATTTCATCTTCCTCATCTTCAGATATTTTCTCAAATAATCTATAATTTTTTTTAAATATAAAAATTAAAATATAGACTATTTATTTATACCTAAAGGCCTTTAAAAAGTTTCTTGCATTATCAGTGACACATAATGTTACCTTATTATGTATTTTAAATTTCTTTAGAAGGTTTAAATTGTTTCAGCTAAAAATCATGTGTGTTTGCTAGTTAGCCTTTGGCAAGCTAAGCTGCCGATTTTCTTTCTAAAGTGACAGCATCTAACTAGTGTACAGTCATGCCTAAAAACGAACTAATGATATAAACAAATTGATATATTCAAAGTTTAATGTACAAAATACCGATGGTATGATGACCATGAATCTGCTGTGATGCAAAAAATTGTTTGATTGCCTAAACAAGTTATCATTTTATCTATCATGATATTATAATCTTTTGATATTTTTGACACAAAGGTGGAGCGTGACATAACCTTTTTATTTGGTTGTAATGTGGTTATCATTTTTACAAAAGCAGGTTTTTCAACAATATTAATTGGCATGCTTAGCTTGCCAAAGGCTAACTAGCATACACACATATGATTATTTAGCTGAAACAATTTCAAACCTTTTAAAGAAATTTAAAATACATAATAAGGTAACATTATGTGTCACTGATAATGCAAGAAACTTTTTAAAGGCCTTTAGGTATAAATAAATAGTCTATATTTTAATTTTTATATTTAAAAAAATTATAGATTATTTGAGAAAATATCTGAAGATGAGGAAGATGAAATTGAATCATTATCATTAAATGAGGTGTTTGAAAATCAAAATAGGGAGGAAAACTTTATCTATCTCCCCAAACATCACCCTTGTTGCCACAATCTTAATTTAGTGGCAAGTGTTGATGCTGAAAAAGCATTAGAAGATGTATCCTTTAAAAGAATATTGTGCATTTGATAAATGCAAAAGTTTATGGAACAAACAAAATCAGTCAACATCATTTGCTGCAGACTTAGAGAGAATTTGTCAAGATTACTTATTAGGCCTGTTATTACCCGATGGAATTCTTATTATAATTCTTTGAAATTAATAGATTCCTTAGTAAAAGAAAATTCTAGTTTGTTTGACAAAGTCTGTGATATGGGAGGATTAGCTAAACTCAAACAATGATAAAATTTTTTTGGAAGAGTACTGTATTGTAAGTCCTAATAAAATTTTTTAGAATAAATATTATAATGAATTTTTTTAAATATTAAAATAGATCATGGAGCCTATTGCAACAGCTCTCACTATTTTAGAAAGTGAGGAAAAGATGCATTTGGGATATTTGACCCCGACAATAACAATAGTTATTATAAAATTAAACAAACTCAGTGGTCTAAAATATGGGCAACCATTGATAGATGCTGTATTAAATGGGATTAATAAAAGGTATTAAACCTATCACTATCAAATTAATTACATATATTTTATTTTTTTAAAGATTTCAACATATATATGAAGATTAATATCTTCTTTCAGCAATTATACATCCGATATTCAAGCTGGATAAAGCTTCCACAAAATGAACCTTTAAAGAATAAACTTATAGCTCTTTTGAAAAAAGGCATTGAAACCCCAAGAATTGATAATGAAAGAACTGTCAATTCCGAGATATCTTTTTTTTTGACGAGGAAGAAGAGGGCAGATTGGAGGATAACATAGCTCAATTTTTTGAAACAATGGATAAAACATTAAATGTTTTTAATAAATTCCCCCTTTTAAAAGAATTGTTTATCAAGTATAACACTGCAATCCCTTCATCTGCCCCTGTTGAGCGAGTTTTTAGTATAGCTAACGCTGTATTAACTGCCAAGCGTTCATGCCTATCAGATGAAAATTTTGAAAAGCCATTATTATTAAAAATTAATAAGAAAATTTTTTATAAATTTATTTTTTTATCGCTCTATTATATTGTATTTATAATTATATTATCAAAATAAAACTATTATTTTTTATCATGGCTAATATATTGTGTTGAAAAATATAAGGCATTTATTTATATTAAATTAAATTTAAAAAAAAATTTATCATAAAATTTTGAACGCATGAGTTCCTTTTTTGAATTTGAACGTGTTCGATTTTTGTCAATGAACGTTGAACGCGTTCGATTTTTTTAAAAATGTTTACAGCACTAGTATTTTTAAATATATTTCGCCTATAAATAAAATATAAATTTTATTTTTATACCAAATTTATGTCTTGTTTTTAATTATGATTTCAATATATTATACATTTCAAATATTCCTAAACCTGAAATACTTGCAGTCAAGCCTGAGTTCAAAAATATTTCCCTGAACTGAACCCATTTAGTTTTTTTTTACCTTGAATTGAACGTGTATAATATTCCTATTGGGTTCACAACCTGGTTATCACACCTACTTATGACTCATTTTTTTAAAAATTGCTCATGATCATGACTAGTGATGTACTGGATACCCGTTTTATAAAAATTGCTCAATGTCACGATAGTGATGTACCTGACATCCTTCACGGTTTCTGTTATATGGAGGAGAAATCCATAGAATTTTTCAAATAGAAGGGCTCAAGTCCTTATAGAAGTCTATAATATTCTTCATTATGTGTAGGGAATTCTGAAAATTTGTGGTACATCATTATTTTGATGTGAACCAACCCAAAATCACATGCCAAAACAAACCTCTAGTTTTGGCCTAAAGTATGTCATCAAAAATTTTTTATTATTAACTTTCAATTTTTTTGATTAATAATTGTAGGGACTGCAAAAGTATCTTGTAAATTTTGATCAAATCCAAAGATGTTGTTGAGTTGGTCATATAATTGTGTTTAGCTCTATTTGAATCATCCTATAATTTATATATTGAGAATTGATAAACGACAATGATAAAAAATATTCATATGCACAAAAAACTAAAGATTATTAAAATAAATAGCTATAAAATAATGTAACATTAAATATTATAAATTGGTGCAGTTGTGGTATTTTATATTATATCATAAACCTCATTTGTATAAAATTCTCCAATTGATAAATTCATTTTATAATATGAAAATGCTTGGCCATCAAGAATATTAGATTTATATGAACTTAGTTATAAATTATATTATATATATTATAAAATGCTTACTCATTTGAAAATTTTCCCAACATCTGAAATTCATTAACACAATGTAACTTTTGATTCAAAATGGAAAACTTTTCAAAACCTTCCAAATATTTCTTTTGCAATTTTTTTTCATAGGCAAATTTTTCTCTCAATTTCTTTTCATAAATAATAATATTATTAGAGTCATTTTTATTGTTTTCATAATTATTCATAAGTTTATTGATAATTTTCAAATGATCATCTTTTAAGTTGCTATTTATAACGAATAAATATAATGTAATAATATTCCACAAATTATTTACCTCTTTATTTGAAAATAATATAATTTAAATTCGTTATAATCATCATCTATACAATTGTTTTCATCAATAATATTTTGAGTTAGGTCATTATAGTCACAAATATGTTCAACAAAATAAGATGTTGTTACATGTTTTTTATCTATAAAATTAAACATATGATGATAACTAATATTAAAATACTCAATAAGTGACATATAATAAATCGTGAAAATTTGGCTAAAAATTTATATAATTTAGAATGAAATGGACACACCAATATTGAGGTAAATATATGTCCAAGTAATGCATTTGGTTCATTCTATATATTAAATAATTAACATTTCATTCTCATATAAAACCTGGTTAATAGTTATAATCCAATTTTTAGCAATTGTGTTAAAATCTCGTTCTTGTCTTTTATCATAAATTGGCCAGCAAGATCTGCAATATTTAAAAATATAATATTAACAAATATAAACTTGCTTAAATCTCTTATGTAATTCGTGCGTATCATATTTGCTTAAAAGAAAATATATAATAACTCTTAGGGCAGGTAGATTTGTGTTATCAAATATATCCCTGTAAAATAATTTGCTTTATATAATAGAAAATTGTGAAAACTTATTAAAATGTAATGATATGTCTTGATCTATTAAAAAATTTTCGAACCCTAGTAATATTAAATTTTTAAAGTATAAATCTTTAAATTCAGGAAAGGTATATGTATGATTATGACAACTTTCTATCTTCATCAACCTTATTTCACATTCACAAGGTGTAACTAAACTGAGAATTGACAGGCAAATTGAGAATGGACAGGTAAATATATTCTTATTTTATAGCCTATCAATTATATTTTAAAGATATTAAAATGTTTTTATTGTATAAATCAAATTTATCCAAAATAAAAATTACCTAAATAAATATAAGAGAATATGGAAGAAATAGTAGCTCATTAACTTATAATATGTAAATATACATAGGAAACAAAACACCCCATAATAAAATTTTAAATCATAAATAAATTTCCGTTAGATGACGTAATTAATTTAAAATTTAGTTTTTAATTAAAAATAATATGAATTATAGGAACATAATTCTCTGCTCTAGATTAATTTATTTGATATGAACTTCTTTTTTTTTCTTTTTAGCTTTTACCTTTTCTGGTGGTAAAATCCTTCAATATCTCTCTCCACTTTATGTTATTCATGCTATCTCTTTTATCTAATTTATACTTCTTTATATTGGCTCTAACTTTATGGCCACATTGAAGTTTTGCATTCCTCTTTTACGTTTACCCATCATTGCCAAACTCTCAACCTTATTTCCTATATAGTTCATAGGCCTTCTCGTGTTCCCATACCACCTAAGTCTGTTAACCATTATCTTAGGCTTAATGGGCACTACCTTTAAACTTACTAGTATTCATGTAGTTCGCACCTTATCCATTCTTGCTACCCCACAATCATCCTAAGAATTCTCATCTCCATAGTTTGTAGGCTTCTCTCATATGATTCTTTGGTTTTTCCGAACTATATAGAATAGTTGGTTGTACTATGGAACTGTAAATTTTCCCCTTCAATTTATGCGGGATTTTTTTGTCAAATAGCACTCCAGACAAAGATCTCCATTTTAAACACCCTTGAATAATTTAACTCTTTATCTCTTTCTCTATTGTGCCGTTTGTTTTTGCAGCATTCAATTGCCGATATCTGCCATTCATTTATATCATGCTCTGTTTCATATTCTCCTATCACCATATACTCTGTCTTTTTTCTATTTTAGTCCTTGTTTTTCTAGGATATTTATCCAACTAACTAATCTTTCTTTCATTTCATCCTGGGATTCGGCAAGTATCACAATATCATCTGCAAATATTGCCAAGAAAAAAATTACTATGGACATCATAACTCCATAAATAACGATGGAAACTTAAAATTTTTTTTATTTTACGTTTATATAAGTTAGTTTTCACAAAATGAGTCAAAAAATAATATATTTTTAAATCCCTAAAATCTTTAAAAAAATGACTAAACGGAGAATGGACATCATAACTCCATAAATAATGATGGAAACTTGAAATATTTTTTATTTTATGTTTATATAAGTTGGTTTACACAAAATGAGTCAAAAAAAATAATATATTTTTTAAACCCAAAAATCTTGAAAAAAATGACTAAACCGAGAATGGACATAATAACTCCAAAAACATTGATTGAAACTTAAAATTTGTTTTTATTTTATATTTAATAGAGTTTACACAAAATGAATCAAAAAAATAATATATTTTTTAACCAAAAATCTAAAAAAATATATGACTAAACAGAGAATGGGCATCATAACGCCATAAATAATGATGGGAAATTAAATTTAATTTTATGTTTATATAAGTTAGTTTACACAAAATGAGTCAAAAAATAATATATTCTTTTAAAAATCGAAAAATAAATGACTAAACTGAGAATGGACATCATTACCTTAAAAATAATATTTAAACTTTATATTTTTTTATGTTTATATAATTTAGTCTACGCATAATAAGTCAAAAAATAATATATTTTATAAATCCCAAAAATCTTTAAAAAAATCACTAAACTGAGAATGGACATCATAACTCCATAAATAATGATGGAAACTTAAAATTTTTATTTTATGTTTATATAAGTTAGTTTACACAAAATGAATCAAAAAATAATAAATTTTTAAATCCCTAAAATCTAATAAAAAATGACTAAACTGAGATTGGACATCATTACCTTAAAAATAATGATTTAAGTTTCAAATTATTTTTATTATGTTAATATAATTTAGTCTACACAAAATGAATCAACAAATAATATATTTTTTAAATCCCAAAAATCTAAAAAAAAATGACTAAACTGAGAATGGACATCATAACTCCAAAATAATGATGGAAATTTCAAATTCTTTTTTATTTTATGTTTATATAAGTTAGTTTAAACAAAATGAGTCAAAAAATAATAAAATTTTTAAATCATAAAAAATTTTTAAAAAATGACTAAACCGAGAATGGACATAATAACTCCAAAAATAATGATGGAAATTTCAAATTTTTTTTATTTTATGTTTATATAAGTTAGTTTAAACAAAATGAGTCAAAAAATAATACATTTTTTAAATCCCAAAAATCTAAAAAAAATGAATAAAATGAGAATGGACATAATAACTCCAGAAACATTGATTGATACTTCAAATTTTTTTTATTTTATATTTATATAGAGTCTACAAAAAATGAATCAAATAATTAATATATTTTATAAATCCCAAAAGTCTAAAAAAAAATGACTAAACTGAGAATGGACATAATAACTCCAAAAACATTGATAGAAACTTCAAATTTTTTTTATTTTATGTTTTATATAAAGAACACAAAATGAATCAAAAAATAATATATTTTTCAAATCAAAAAAAATATAAAAATAAATGCCTAGTCTGAGAATGTACATCATTATACTAAAAATCTTTCTTTCTTTCTTAAACTTGTTGTTTTCTGGAAATTCGATAAAATATTCGGAGGAATTATAAGAATTAGGTTTATTTTATTAAAGAATTCCATGATATATTTTAATAAATTCATGAACCAAGTTTATTTTATAAAGAATCAAATTTATTTTTTACTGAAAATACAAAAATTAATTCGTTGTTTATATAATAAAAAATTTAATTTAAATTATCACCGAAGGTAACAAGATGACCTTTTGAAATAAATTGTAACTTGTATAATGTCATTAACAATTAGAATTTGTATAGTTCAATGTCATTAACAAAAAAATGAAAAACAATTTATAATTTGAATGTCATTATCAAAACAACAAAAAAAAACTAATAGTTTAAAGGAGAAAAATAAAACAAATACGACTACTTAATATTTCACTCTTTTTTTAAGTTTTCGCCCTCTGTCTCTCATTTTATCGTTTGTCTTGCTTACCGGTTTCTTCATCATTTAATGTTCGTTTGTCCTTTATTGGTCTTAATAGGTATCGTTAGTCGTCACTAATATATTTCATTAGTTTTCTTCCACAAAAAAAATCTTGTTTATATAGTATAAGCTATTGAAAGTTTATTTTAAATTTAAATATTCTATATAATAAAAAATATTTTATTATTTATTATATATATATTTTTTTAAATCTTTTCTTATATTCATTATAAAATTTTCGAATTTTTTAAATATTATATTTCTGATTGGTCTTTTACTGTTAAGACTCTGTTCTTGTACTTGTATACTTTGATTTCGTACTGGTTCGTCATCATTTCTTTCCTCTAAAATTTAGAGTATAAGGTATTGTATTATTAACATTTGTTTTCAAATCTGTTGTACCATTATTTAGAGATATAATATTCGTTGATCTTTTTTTAATCTGGTCTAAATGTCTTTTTAGAATTTTGTTTCCAGTATCTATTCATATGATAAATTCCCATCTTTACGTGTTACCGTACCTTTGTCCCAAATGTTTTCCTTGAAAGTTTTATACCAAACTTTGTCACCCACACGATATTTCTATTTGACGATAATTTTCGATTTACTTCATTCACTTTATCTTCTTGTGGTTTAATTAAATCTTATCTGGTTCTTATACTCGAAAACATTACTTTTCTTGGTATCATGTTGGTTGTTGCGTTCAAGGTTTCGATAATTAAATAAGAACTTTTCTAAAGCTATATATAAGTCTATTTTATTGTTACTCTCCATGTTCCTTTTCATACTCATCTTCATAGATCTTATCATTCGTTCACACTGACCATTGGACTGTTGGTGGTGAAGTGCGATGAGTATATGTTCAATTCCATGATCTCCACAAAATTTGAATAAGTTACTAGTAAAGTTAGTTCCATTATTACTCACTATTTTTTCAGGTATACCAAATAAGCTGATTATTTTCATCAATTCTTTAATTGTTGATTCTGTTGTTATGTTTCTCATTCTTTTAATAATAGAGAACTTGCTAAATGCGTCGACACATATTGCGCAAAATCTATGTGCACACGTTCGAATATTTTTGTTGCTGTTTCCCATGGGCTTTGTATATTGTGAGGATTATCCGCATATTTATTACATGTATCACAATTTTTTACCTCCTGATCTATTTCAGCGTTTCTACCAGGCCACCACAAGTATAATCTCTCGCTAATGATTTCGTTTTCCCAGAACCTAGATGACCATTATTCAACTCTTGCAACATCTCTTTTCTCATATGTGGTATTATTATCCTATTTTCTTTAAAGAGACAATCTTTAATTAAGCTCAGTTCCAACTCTATATTTTTATATATTATGTTCTTTATCTGTTCATGATTCTTTATATTGTTAATTACTTCAATTAATTCTTTGTCAATACTATTCTCTAACTATTCTTTTAAAATTTATTGGTATGTCCCATAATTTATCATCAATTATTTCACCATCTATTTTTTGTACCATCTCTTCTGTATTCGTTTGTGGAATTAATTCTTATATAGTATTTTCATAATCTTCCTCGATTAGATTCACAAATGTATCTAATATATTTCTAAAAACGGTTATCCAGGTCCTTCCTAAAAGTGCAATCTTGTCACTTTGGACCATATAAGCATTTAAGATTTGGGTTTTGTCCTCAAATTTTGCCATTACTTGGACATTACTTAACACTTTTATCAATTTTACATCGTATCCAGTTAATTTAGTATCCGATTTATTTAAGATTTTTATTCCAATCTTTCTTGCAATATGAATCGGATAAGAT